CGATGGTTCGTGGCCCTCCAAAGCTCAAACCCTACCCAGCAAAATCTTATTTCTTAGTATTTGATTTCTCTTGTTATGCAGAAATCCAATTATATTTAAATTAATTAATTTAATCTACATATAATTGAATTTTTGCCCTTGGAATGGGCGGCCGTAATGAAAACAAGACTGAGGAATGCTGCTCTACACAGGAGTTCCACGAGCAAGCTGCTCCCAGACAGGTTCCTGCAGGGGTTTTCGATCAGTATCAGTATACCCCCGAATACCGTTTACTGAGCGAGTCCTTGAGACCTGGAGTGAGGGAGATTTTCAGCTAGAAGAGACCCCAGAATCCCAAATGCCGTATTTACAGACGAGAAAGCGCAGGCCGGGATCACACTGCATCCTGGGCAGCTTTCTGAGTCCAAGCTCAACTTGTCCGTCAGATCAGAAATGCCTCCTGGTCCTTTTCTGTTCCCAGTGGTCACATTTGACTAGTTAATTTCTGGGCTCCAGTGCAGGAAATGCAGGGCCTCTTGCACAAAAAGTGTTGAGAATTTCAAGATGGCAACAGCAGAGCATGAAACCAAGCGAGCTCGGGTCCCTTCTGAGTCTAGCGCCCAGCCCTGGTCACGTTTTCCATATTCAAAAGATGGATTTGGAAATAGGTAATAAGAGCTGTTCTGAGATGGTGAAAACAGACATCTCCAACCCCTTGCATTTTCTTGATGGACTTTGGGAAGTGTGGACGTTGGGGGCATCACCTCCTTCAACCCATTCTTTTAAATGGACAATCGAATGCCACCTTCAGGGGCCTAATGACAAAGTTAAATAACTGGGGAGGGAGGAAGGAGACCTCCATGTTTATTCCTTTATTTCCCCCTACAAAGCTCCTTGTAACTATGGCAACCTGGATTCTGCAGGGGCGGCCTGGCTTGATCAGTGTGGTGACTGCCCAACCACCCAGGGCCACCAAAGGGATTCTCTGAGGCTGTACTTTCATGTGGCAAAACTGTAGCTTGACTGTTAAACTCTGAAATGCTTTCCTATGGTTTCCAGTTTGTCCCAGAAAAGGGGCAAGTATCAGACCTAAATTGCTAGGATGTCAGCACCCAGGTGGCCTGCACTTGGGTGATGAAGCTTCTGTGGAGACAGCGTGGAGAGAGTGTGTGTGTGTTGGGGTGAGGGGGACTCATTGCTGTACTTAAGAGTTTCATAGTAGGGGAGTTCAACAGAAAAGGAGCCAAACTGTGAAATAATTGAAAGAGCTTTATTCTGAGCCAAGCTTGAGGACCGTGGCCTGGAGCCACGCCCAAGGAGCCTTGAGCACGTGGACTGGCTGTGGCTGGGTTACAGTTTGGTCTTACACATTTCAGGGAGGCAGGAATTGCAGGTGAAGTCATAAATCAATCCATGGAAGGCGAACATTGGTTTGGCTTGGCCCGAAAAGGGGCCATCTCTAAAGTGGGGAGGGGCTTTGCAGGTTATAGGTGGGTTTAAAGACTCTCTGACTTGTAACTGGTTAAAGAAATGAAGCTTTGTCTAAAGGCCTGGAATGCTTTAAGTCAAGATAAGGACGGCTGTTAATCAGACACACGCCAAGCCATGGGCCATGTATTTGTTGTGTAAATTGAGGACCTGCAGGTGCCTCTTGCTCAGCCTCAGGCCTGTCAGTGAGCTACAAAGGATGTCCCCAGGAAGGGAGGGGGCATGACGAGGCGTGTCTGACGTCCCTCCTCATGACTGGCAACTCAGTTTTAGGGTATCCTCTTGGCCAAGAGGATCCATTCAGTCAGCCGGTGGGGGGAGCCTTAAGGTTCTATTTTAGTTCACGGGGTGATGAGGAGGGTTGCGTAGACCCTGCCTGGAATGGCGGGAGAGTGGGTAGGTGGCCTCCTATGCCCGGTGGGTGGGGGGAGCCAGCTTAAAGGGAAATAGGGGAAAAAAGAGAAAGAAACGGGACTCAGCGGAGTGGCATTTCCTGGCCGTGGGCTCTGAGGGAAGGAAGGCGAGGAATTTATTTAGAATACTTTGAAGCCAGAAGGTTATGAGTTTTTTACTGTTCTGGGCAGTCGCTCTTGTTCTTTTCAGAATTATAAATGTGTTTATGTGGCTGTTTGAGCCGAAAGCAAGCAGTGCTCTAAAGAGACAGCTCTTGAGGGTCTAGAAAGACGTGACCGCGTGAAAGACGATCCTCCGCCAATAAATGGGGGCCGGGTGTGGGCAAGGCCCCAACTTCCAGGAGAAACTCAGGCCCTTTGGTTCTCTAAAGGTCGTGGAGAGAAGGCTCCCCTTCCCCCACCCCCGGCTCCCCGCCCCCTCTCCTTGACTCTTTAAAAAGCAAAATTTTCTCTCTTTTGGAGGAGAAGTGGTTTCTGAAGTAGAGAAATTCCACTACTGGGGTGAGTCATTGCCTCTCGGAGCTTTGCACCGAATTGTTTGCACAGCTTAGGGTACCCCGAGAGCCCGTTTCCCCCTCCCCAAGCACTCCCGGCGATCACGGCCAGCAGTGCTATTTTAGGATTTCTGTACACCCCGGCGTTTTCTGGTCTCGTAATTATTTATATGAGTCACTTTTCATAATAAATGGCGTAGGCAGATCTGGGTCTGTCTTTTCCCCCGAAACAGGAAGGGACAGCGAGTTCTAGATGTTCAACAAGGATGTAAGTTTCTCCAGAGCACCGGGGTGGTCATGTTGTTCCTTTTGCTGGAAGTTTCCACAAGCCCAGTCAAGATGCGTGGGTGTGCTGGGGGCCATCTGGGAGGGACATCAGCTGACTTTGGGGATGAGCTGGGACTGGCATTTGTGGCCCTCTTCTGCATTTCTGTTCCCATATGTCGGAGGAAACTGGCAACGTGCCTCAAACCAGTGTTCACTGTTGGTCTCATTTTTCAACCTGAACCTGTTTCACAAACGCCTCCTGTGATCTCGTTACCCTGCCTCTCTGCCCACCCGCTTAACCCTCCTCCGTGATTGGGACTCCCCGCTTTCCCTTCCGCTACACAGCAGGGCTTTCTGTGGTTTTTGTCTTTTTTCCTTTTGCAGACCTTCTGTTTGTGTTTCCTCTGCCTTCTCTGGAGTTGGACCCTTCCTCTTCTCTATAACCTTCTGTGGCTCACAGCGTCGCTGTGCATTAGAACCAGAAAGTGGGCTTCATAGGTAATTTTAAATTATTTTAGCACGCCACATTTAAAAAGCACAAAGAACAAGGTGAAATTAACTGTAACAATACATTTTACCTAACTCCATATATCTAACCTACGATCACTTCAACCTATCATCAATACGCAAATTATTATAATGAGATATTTTACATTCAGCTTTTCCTACTAAATTTTTTGAAGTCCAGGGTGTATTTTACGATGACATCCTGTCCAAATTGGATGCTACATTTTCATCAGAAACATTCTGATCTATATTCAGAGTTGGTGAAATTTACTGTCGAAAAGTAGATTCACATAGCCAGGTTGTCCCAGGCTTACATATGATCCTTCCAAGAATTGAATTGGGTATTGATTTTTAAATTTAAATTGCTGAAATGTAAATATAATTAAAAATTCAGTTACTCGCTCACACTAGCCACATTTCAAGTGCCCCGCAGCTGCGTGTGACGGGCGGCTGCGTAGACACGTCATGTTTCCGTCATCACAGAAGGTTCTATTAGACAGCGTTATCTGACGGAATAAAGTGTGAACACCTCCAAGGGACTTTCAGAGCTTTCTAGAACCTGTCTTTCTTTATTGGCTCTGTTTAACCATGCTCACGTCCCCCTGCCGCTGCTTCCACTTGGAGATGTGCTTTCTTGGATTGCTCTAGAGAAATCTCCTTCGGGCTTGGTTTCCAGGCATAGCTCTGGGACGGATTCTCCCCTTGTCCCCGCAGCAGGAGTCACTGCTGCCTCTGCTTCCCACGAGTTCTGGAAAATGAGGCAGGACGTGGGGGCAGAGGCGCAGGCCTGCCCGAGCCCCGCGGCGTGGCTCGCTGCCCCCGTTTCTCCCGAGACACGTCTGAATGGCTCTTGTGACGCAGCCTGAGCCCTGCCCGGCTGGAAAAACAGCCACACAAAGGACAGCACTGTGTCCGCCTCCAGCTGGCCCGGGGTTGCCGAGCGCGGACCGGCAGGCAGCAACACACCCTGGGCACGGGGTGTAATTCTAGGCGGGCAGCGGCTCTGCCGCGGGGGAGGACCCTTTCTTTGCCCTCACAAAAGGAAGTAGGTGTCCGCTTGCCCTGGGACTTGCTTTTCAAAATGGGAGCTGGTGTGTCTGTGTGTTTCCTTTTTAAAAAAAAAACTATAACATGCAAAAAAGTGCACACATCTTAATTAATTATACAACTCGAATTTTCACTAAGTGAACATACTTGTGTAACCAGCTCCCAGGCGAAGGAGAGAGACTATGATCCCCCACCCCCCACCCCGAGACCCCTCCAAATCCTTCTCCTCCTCCCAAGCATAACCGCCTTCCTGATTTCTAGCCCTGTGGGTTCCTTTTGCCTGTTTCTGAACTTCATGTTAAGTGGCGTCGTACAGTGTGAGTTTTGTTTTTGGTATCTGGCTTCTTGTGCTCAGGGCTTTGTTTGCGATAGTTTTGTGGTTGGTTTGCGAATGCCTCTGTCTTTTCCATGACGTGGAACAGTCAGTGAAAACCACAGTGGTTAAAAAAAAGAAAAAGAAACACTAGATGTAGAAGATAGGTTATTGTCAGGTAATGGTTTGAGTCATGAAAAAGAAACTGCTCAAATTGGATTAGCGTTTCTCTCGGGATTTTCTAGGTTCTGGTGATTTTTGGTAGTAATGATTTACTTTTTATCTCGACGCAGGGAATCCCTTGTTAGGGTAGTAATTCTGGGGTCTTGAAGGACTGTTAACTCCCTTTCTGGCTTTTGGACAAGGCTGGACGCAAGTCATTTCCTGAGATTTTCTGTTTGCCACGTAGAAAATTTAAAGATTGGGAGGAAGAGAGAGAGCGGGGAGAGATCAATTGAATTTCTTATCCAGTGTGTTCTGTTTTTGCTCTAGGTAAAATGTCGGTTCCAGGACCTTACCAGGCAGCCGCCGGGCCGTCCTCAGTGCCGTCCGCGCCCCCGTCCTATGAAGAGACGGTGGCTGTTAACAATTACTACCCCACGCCTCCAGCACCCGTGCCTGGGCCAACAACGGGGCTCATGACAGGCCCGGATGGGAAGGGCATGAATCCTCCTTCGTATTACACCCAGCCAGTGCCCGTGCCCAACGCCAACGCAAGTACGTGCGGCTTCCCAGGCCCCCGCCTTAACACCCCTCAGCCCTCCACCCCGGCCTTGCCTCCGAGAGGATCAGCAGAGCAGCCGAAGTGACTCTGCGGGAGAGTCTAAGCGAAGTGCCGCTCTGTCCACCTTCACCCACTTGCCCTGAAATTTCACATTCAGTCTTTTGGGTTCCATGTTGGTGGGGCTCGTGGCTTTTCCATAAATAAGCTATGGTTTAGGATCTTTCCCAGGTTCACCATACATTAATCATTTGGCACATCTCACAGGCACAACCCACTATCCCAGAGAAATTTGGGAAGAGGACTTTGTGTTTTAATGGTTCCCACTCTTCCTGCTGAGGTTTGGTGGGGAAGGTCCGTCCTGAGGCCAGGGCTGGATAGGAACAGGGAGAAGAGGTGGCCCTGAGTGAGAAATGGCCGCATTTTCACACCGGCTCCCCATCGATGCAGTTCGTCCCTCTGCCTTCGAGCACCTTCACGGTCCCTGCTCTTTGGCTCTTCCTGCTGCCCAGGCGCACCCGGGCGTGTAGCTGATTCAGTGTCACAAGCAGTTCAGGAAGAAACCTTCAGCTCCAAGAGTGGGCCCGTGAATCAGACTGCATTCATTTAACCTTGTGCCTCAGTTTCCTCATCTGCAAAACAGGACCCAAGTACCAATATCAGTGGGTTGTTAAGAGGGAATAAAGTTCTATGTGCCAAGCATGAACGAGTCACTTGATGAAAGTGAATACTTACTTTGCTCAAGATTTTTTGACCCCTTGAGTCGGAAGAGGATGAGATAATGACTTTACACGCTCAGAGCACACTGTGATCCATAAGTAACTTATTCTTGAACGAAAAAAATACTTCACAAAATTTACATGTAAGCGCTAATGTATGCATCATTACTGCTTCCCTGGAAGGAAGATCTTTCTGTGAGTATTATTAAGTTTGGTTAACTCTGGGCAGCAGTTAATTTCCCCCTAATACGTAGGTTTATGTAAATAGGATTCTAACAATGTAAAAAGGAAGAGAAAGAAGTCGCTTTGACAGAAATGTGAGCCTAAGAACTGAAGTACTTAGTGATTCCCGTCATCTGGGTTCTCTTCTGATGGTGGTGAATGTCTATACATGTTTTCACACTGTTTTCTCTTTGTAGCGTTAGTTCTTATGCTCATTTCTTGTATCAGCACAGTTCACCAACTTGTCATCTTAAAGAGCTGGGTCCGCATTTCCTGCTTTGGTAAACTCTACCCTTATCATCGGGTGTTGGAGTCCATCCGGGAACCCTGGTGAAAAGAGTGGATTGTTTATCAAGAGTTTCCACGGCCGGGCGCAGTGGCTGACGCCTGTCATCCTAGCACCCTGGGAGGCCGAGGCAGGAGGATCGCTTGAGGCCAGGAGTTCAAGACCAGTCTGAGCAAGAGTGAGACCCTGTTCTCTGCTAAAATAGAAAAAATGAGCCGGGTGTGGTGGTGCACGCCTGTAGTCCCGGCTACTATACTCAGGAGGCTGAGGCAGGAGGATCACTTGAGCCCAGGAGTTTGAGGTTGCAGTGAGTTCTAATGATGCCACTGCACTCTGTCCTGATTGACAGAGGGAGACACTGTCTCAAAAAAAAAAAGTTTCCAGGCACAGTGTGAGACTCATTATAATCCTTATTTAATCCTTGGAAGTACTCTGTTACTTCTATTTTTTAAATAACAGCTCAATTGAGATATAATTCACATGCCGTAAAGTTCACTCTTTTGAAGTCTACAATTCAGAGGTTTTTAGCATATTCACAGACTTGGGCAACCGTCCACACTATCCAATTCCAGAACATTTCCATCACCCCTGGCAGCACCCCTGTGCCCATTAGCAGCCACACCCCTTCCCCTCCCCCTAGGCCTGGCCTCCGCCAGTCTGTGGGTGAGGAATGTTGCCAGTCTGGGGGTGAGGAATGTCGAGGCTAACCCTGTTACACCACTGGTTCTCTAATTACCATCTGCGGACCACCTTAACAGAGCCACTCAGGGAGCTTAAAACAGTTTGGGGACCCTGCCCCAGGCCTGCTGAATCAGACTCTTGGGGGTGGGGCCCAGGAATCTGCATTCTCAATAAGCTCCCCACGTGATTCTATGGGCGGTGGAGTTTGAATGCCTGGTGTAGCCGAGAGCCTCTCGGATGATAATTCTGGAAATCTGCCACTGTTTGCACTGCTTTCTTTTTGTTTTTTATGGCGGCAGAATACATATAACATATTAATAAAGTCTACTTTTTTTTTTTTTTTTTTAGGAGACAGGGTCTTGCTTTGTCACCTAGACTGGAGTACAGTAGCACAATCATAGCTCACTGCAACCTCAAATTCCTGGGCTCAGGCGATCCTCCTGCCTCAGTTTCCCAAGTAGTTGGGACTATAGGCATGTGCCACCACACTCGGCTGACTTTTTAATTTTTTGTGGAGACAGGGGTCTCACTGTGTTCCCCAATCTGGTCTCAAACTCCCGGCCTCTAAGTGACCCTCCCGCCTTGGCCTCCCAAAATGCTGGGAATTACAGGCATGAGCCACTGTGTCTGGCATAAGTTTCTACCGTTTTAGCTATTTTTAAGTACACTTTGGAGGCGTTAAGCACATTCACACTGTTGTGCAGCCATCACCAGCATCCATCTCCAGAAGTTTTTCCATCTTCCCAAACTGAAACCCTGGACCCATTCAACACTAACCCCCCCTTCCCCCTCCCCCCATCCCTGGCACCCGTGGTTCTGCTTTCTGCCTCTGCATTTGACTGCTCCAGGGACCTCACAGAAATGGAGGCCCGCAGTGTTTGTCCTTCTGGGACTGGCTAACTTCACACCGTGTTCTCGAATTTCATTCCTGCGGTGGCAGGGGTCAAATTTCCTTCCTTTATTTATTTGTTTTTTAATTTCCTTCCTGTTTGAGGCTGAGTAATATTCCATGGCAGGGTTCAGCCACGTTGTGTATACCCATCCATCCGTCCCCGCACACCTGGGTTCCTTTCCCCTTGTGGCTGTCGTGAACGGCTCACCTGTGGACACGGGCGCACAGAGGTTTGCAGGAGTCCCCGCGTTCACCGTGTTGCCATTCCGTGAATGCCGTCTGCCTGCTCCCTGAGCAGCCTGTGTTTGCCTCTTTCCTTCCGTCAGTCGCTGTGCAGACGGTCTACGTGCAGCAGCCCGTCTCCTTTTTCGACCACCCTGTCCAGATGTGCTGTCCCTCCTGCAACAAGATGATCGTGACTCAGCTGTCCTACAACGCCGGCGCCCTGACCTGGCTGTCCTGCGGGAGCCTGTGCCTGCTGGGGTGAGTCTGCCGCCCGCCTGGCTCCGCGCCCTCCTGCCCCTCTCTCCGGGGATTGGAGGGGTGTGGGGGAGGTGGGGGTGCAGGGCGGGGTTCCTCGACTGCACCACGATTGAGGTTCAGGGCCAGGTGCTGCTCTGCCGTGGGGCACGGTCCTGTGCATGGTAGGGTGTTGAGCATCGTCCCTGGCCTCCACCCACTTGATCCGGGAACACCCCTTTCCCCAGTTTTGTAACCAAAAATGCCCCCCCCCTGCAGGGCAAAATCGTCCCCAGTTGAGAACCGCTGCTGGAAATGGCTGTTCCTTCACCTTCCTGCTTATCTGCTGACACCCGCGCTGCTTGTAGGACGCGTGTGGCAGCCCTGACATCTGTGCAGGGCGATGCCCTCAGGGATGTCCTTTTCTTCTAGAATTTCATGACCGAAATAACAAGGTTCGCCTGACTCTGGGAGAAGCTTTAAACAATCTGTGCATTAAAATTCTTCATAATAATCTCTTCAAAACAACGTACCCTTTTATGACCCCAAGGATCTTTGCCATTGCCTGTGTGGGGGAATTATACAAATATTTATGTCTGCACCGTGGATATTACATTTGAAGAGATAATAGCTTCTGTTCTAGGAGAAAAAACAATTGAATTTTTTTTTCCCCAGGCAGGTAAAAGTAGCCTCCTCATTCCTGGCCACGTGAGCCACTCAGAAAACCACGAAAGGTCCCATTTTTTTCCTTGAAGGAAACTGTATTTGTGAGTTTCCTTTGCTGGCGACCTGAGGTCGAGAAGGAGCGATATTTCTTTTCCTAACTTCAAAGAGAGGCTCAGAGCCCCAGAGAGCTTGATTAACTTCCTTGAGGTCCCACGTTAAGTGGGGAGGAAAGGGGATGGACCCGGTGTCTTGGCACCTAACTCCTCTCTTGCCCGTAGGGCGCCCCTGCCCGCTGCCGTTTTCGTTGTCTGGGCAGAAAATGAAAGTTTGTTGTCTTCGGACGTTTGTATTAAATCTAATTCTTATCTTTGAAGTCAAGGGAAAGACAGAATAGAAACTCAAGTTCGTGTTTGCCTCCGCTCCTCTGGCAAGCTTTCTGTTCCTCTTTCGTCCCTTCCCTAAATGTAGTCGAGCTGGTTCAAACCCTGCCTCTCACTGGCTGTGTGACCCTACGCAAGTGACTTCACCTCTCTGTGCTTCGGTTGCTTCATCCATAAACTGGGGGTGATAACGCCCCCTTTAGAGGGTTGCTGGGGATAAAATAAGTCTGTGTGTGGTGCCGCCTGGAGCTGTGCCTACCCCTCTAAGCTACAGTTTGCGATTGTCGCTAGATGGACGGGCCGCCCTCATTTGAACCCTAGGCAGCTTAAGCAATGGGAGGAAATTCTTTCACAAGATAGTTTCCTCACCAGAATATTTCCAGATTCCACTTTATGTAAATCAACGCCTTCCTGTAAGATGTTGGATCGTAAGTTGGTTTTTGGCAAACACGAGTCGCGAGGCCGTGTGAAGTTCCTGCCTGTGTGTGCGGGATGGAGTGTGTAGGTTGAGGGGTATTAATATTATCTGGGGAACTCAGGTTGCTGTAAGAAGCAGCTTCAGCCTTTCCGTATGGCAAAGAGATCAATAGGACGGGGCCCTGGGGCCAGATCTAAACAGACACCGGTTTTGAGCTTTACTGGGACACCGTCACGTGCATTTGTTGACGGGCTCTCTACGATTGTTTCCTCGCTGCGAGGGTGGAGTTGCGTCGTTGCAACACAGACCCCGTGGCCCGTCCAGACTAAAGTAGGTACTGTCTGGCCCTTCACAAAAGAGCTCACCAACCCCAATGTAAGACTTTGAAAAGTTCCCAAATGACCCAGGATTTGAAAATACACCTGGGACAGCCTGTCTGTGGGGGAACCTTGGCATTGGGTTGGTGTGTTCGCTTCCTAGGGCTGCCATAGAAATGACTACAAACCTGGTGGTTTACGACAACAGAGTCTATTCTGTCACTGTCCTGGAGGCCAGACGTCCAAAATGGAAACGTGGGCAGGGCCACGCTCCCTCCAAAGACTCTAGGGGAGGGTCCTCCTTTGCATCCTGCGGCGTCTGGTGGCTGCAGTCTCTGCTTCTGCTCTCACGTGGCCTTATTCCCCTCTGTGTCTCTGTATGTCCTTTCTCCTTCTCCTGAGGTACCAGTCATGGGGTTTAGGGGTCCCCCTGGGTAGTGCAGGGTGATCCCATCTTGAGATCCTTAAGTATGTCCTTATTTTTACAAACAAGGTCACATTCGTAGGTTCCTGGGGTCAGGGCACGGCCATGTGCTTTTGGTGGCCACGATGCATCGCGCCACAGTCAGTAACACGCTCCACGTGCGACTCTTTGTCTTCCCAGGTGCATAGCAGGCTGCTGCTTCATCCCCTTCTGCGTGGACGCCCTGCAGGACGTGGACCACTACTGTCCCAACTGCAAAGCTCTCCTGGGCACCTACAAGCGTTTGTAGGACTCGGCCGGACGTGGAGGGAGCTGGGTGCTGCAGAAAGTCCCTTCCGACTCTCGTCCAGCCCCGCCCCTGGTGGAGGTTCCGCTCCAGTGGTCTCATCTCTCCAGGGGGCCCACCTTCGTGTCTTCTTTTGGGGGGAAAAATGTCACAAAACTAACAAACCTCCAAACTCCAGAAATTGCTGCTTGGAGGCTTGCACAGGACATGCAGAGACGTTCCCCTTGAGTGCTGGTTCGAGGGTCTCCTGCCTACCCGTGACCCCGAGTCATCCCATCTAACTGTGATCGTTGCCCCACCTGAATACTTCCCTGTGATTTACCATCGGTCGGCTCCTTTTCCTGCCTCAGTGGGCCTTTCTGGTGGGCTCAACCTGGGAAGCCACAGGTTGCCTTATGTTTAAGGCTGTTCTGCCCCGAATGCGGCCGAACCAGCCTTTAGTGCCTACCGCCTTACCCACCTGTCCCCACCCCTGATGACAAACTCTTGCCTTATAGACCTAATGGGCTTGGCTCTTAGATTCTGTAATTGCAGACTTCATTAGCACACATACTCACTTTAATTTTTAAATTTTTTTTTTTTAAGTACAAGGAGAGGCTGTTAACACCCACTAGACAAATATCCGTGAGGTCATCAGCGCGTGCTAGAGAAATCGGGCTGGGTTTTATCGTTGGTCTGCCTCCCTGTTCTTGTGCCAGATCCTTAGCACCACTTTGCATGAAGGGACTTTTTTCCCCCTACATTTATTGTATTAACAGTGTTTATGCCCTCCTTTGGGTATTAAACGCCTTCAAACACAATTTTGAAAGGAGGGCTTTGTAAAACCATTTTCTGTGACCATATGATTGGTATTGTTTTCCCACTTGCCAATGAATGCACTCTCACTTTTTGTTGTTAACAGTAAAAGAAGTGGATAATTTCGTTTATTCCCTTTACTTGGGTCAGTGTGGTTCTTAAAAACCTCCATCATGGAACTTTGAAGGTGGAGTCCTGTTTGGGTCGCCAGTGGTGGCTTTAGAAAGAGGAGGGAAGGCGTGTTTGAGCACGTCTTAGCACAGTGGTGCTGGAAAGCTTGGAAACCAAAACTGTTTCAAAGGAATCTAAAGTCTGATCTTGTTTTCCAGAGATACAGTTTGTTGCCTGACATCGGAAGCCATGACTTCCAGGACTCAAGCAGCAAGCCAGAGGTCTAGGTTGGTGGCTGCATCGTCTTGGAACTCAAGACAAAGCCAGGCTTGACTTTCAGGAGCCCCGATTTGATAATAAATTGGCACAGGGATTTCATGTGAATGATATTATGTAGAAAGAAAACTTAGACCTTGAACGAAAATCTGTATATCGGTTGAAAATGAGAGTCGTAACCATTGATTTGCCTTATCCGTTTGATGTTTTGAAAATTCCAGTAATTATTTTTTTGCAATGAATATGGATACCACATAGTACTTTGGTGTTACCTGTTTTTAAGAAATAAAGTCTTTGGTTCACTCGATGAACTATTTATCAGTTCTTAACGGTGTGAAGAAAGGTCTCATGTTGTGTTTCCAGCCTTTCCTACAAAGAACCTTTATTTGCTCCGTAACAGCAGAAAAATCCTTCCTGGTAAAAACTTCAGACTGGCTGAATATCCTGCAATGTCAAGATGACCGATGTGGAGTTGGGCAGATTGCTAACGAATCAGATTTGAACATTAGGCTGTTGGAACCCAACAGGCGTCATCGGTGGCAGCAAGCCATAGCTTTCAAGTTTTAATAAAATGCACAGAAGAAAGCTGTCCTCATTCATTCTGCGAACAAAACATGCTTTGTGAGATGCTAAAAGGCGGGTATTGTAACATGCAAGGAATATGGCCGCCACCCCCTTCCCCCCTTCCTACCTGATGATGCAGCTTCATTTCAGAAGGTGCGGGGAACTAATGTCATCTTGGTGTGGCTTACATTGTCATTTAAACCCCAAATTATGGTCTTAAAAAAATTGCTGCTCCCTAGATTCCTGATGGTGTGGTTTTTCTTTCACTCGACAAAATTCAAGACCATGCATATTTAGCAGCTTTGCTCAGACGGTGGTATAGAAATGATCTCAAGCTATTATTAATTACATATGCAACGTCTTCGAAACAAGAGCCCCATTTCAAGGAGCAAAATACGTACATTATGTAGAACTTTAATGTCACACGCGTGGAGTACGAAGCATTCATTCATTGGACATTCCTTTTCATTTTTCAAAGTACGGACTTAATTCATATATTTTTGCAAATTAAAAGGCTCTTTTGTCCTGCCCCCGTTTGTTGGGGGCTTTGGAATTAGTCTGTTGCAAACTGGATCCCATTCAACGAATGCAAGGGCTTTATACCTACCTCCTTGGACCTCAAAAAAGAGTTTTACCAATTTCGAACCAGAAGTGGCCGTGTATCTTATACACTGTTTCATCCATCAAGGCTTGTAATAAGCATTGGTTTGTGTGTTGTTAACAAGAAGTGTTCAGCCATCACATCTGTTTAAGAAAACTTTAAGCACATGATGGATTCCTCGCTAACCGCAGCATTACCCATGAAAATGTTTTCTCTGGGACAACCGGCTTCCCAATCGCTACGGAGACCACTTGTGCTGGGTACTGAACTGTTTATAAATGTAGCTTCATCCGCTCACGCAATTTGGCCTTGGTTGTTTCCCCAGTGAGAGCCTGCTGTGTTTGGGATGTTAAAATGCTTCTCTGACTTTTCTGGGCTCAAGATTTCTGTGAGGAGTGGATCTAGACATTGGAATTTTCCTTGCAGAATTCTGATTTGCATTTTGGATCCTCATTAAAGTTATCTCTTGCCTTTGTGCCTCAAATGTTTACAGTTTGTCTGGTTTTTACGGGCACAGGAGTGAATTGGAAATAGATCGAGCAAGGGCATGAAAGAGAGACCAGGAGTAGTTTTTTTTTTTTTAATCTAAGAATTTTAAAGAAACAAGATTCTGAGGCTCAGAGAGGTTAAAATGAAAAATAAGAAAACAGTTCTCAGGCAAGTGTACAATCCAGGGCACTTAACTAACCATCTCGCCACTGCTCTCTGCCGCGTTAGGAATATGTCCTCCCATTTAAGTACTTTTTGTTCCCTTTTAAATAGATTATTTCCTATGTACCCCCTGCCTCATGCATGCAGAGCCTCCTCCACTATCAACATCCCCCACCAGACTTGCACATTTATTACAATTCATGGACCGACATTGACACATGACTACCCAAAGCCCATGGTTTATGTTAGGGTTCGCTCTATGGGTCGCACATTCTGTGGGTTTGGACGAGGGTGCATGACGTGCAGCCACCATAATGGTATCGCACAGAATGCTTTCACCACCCTAAAACCCTGAGCTCTGCCTGCCCATCCCTCCAACTCCTGGCAACCACTTGCCTTTTTACTCTCCACGGTTTTGCCTTTTCCAGAATGTTGTGTAGCTGGAAGTCCACATTATGTAGCCTTTCAGACTGGCTTCTTTCACTTAGTGATGTGCGTTTAAGGTTCCTGCAGGTCTTTCCATGGCTGGATAGCGTGTTTCTTTCTAGTGCTAGATCGTACTCCGTTATCTGGATGTGTGCGAGTGCACACCGACGGACTCTCAGAGCTCTTAGTCCCGCGGTGTCTGATAAGTGATCTTGTCCGCAGTTGCCCAAACGGGCAAAATCAATTGAGTGGATGTGTCCAAAGTCACGATGTATCGCCGGTCCAAAGTCACGATGTATCGCCGGTCCAAAGTCACGATGTATCGCCGGTGACAGAGCTGAGTGTTGTTCGTGAAACTTTCGGATACGCAGATGTGTATGTGTTGAGGGGGGTCGCAGTGCAAAGTATGTGTCAGGGTAAGATTTGGAAGTCTCTGGTTGATATATCTGTGGATTTCACGTTGTTTATCTTTGATTGACTCCTGCTGTGTTCGAGGCATTTGTACCGTTGGGGCAGGAAACACGACCCTGCCTGGGAAGAGGGAACAGTGGCCTTAGCACTGCCCTGCCAACACTTCCAGTGGCTTCTTCCTCTCTTCCTCTCTTCCTCTTGCCTCCCTTCCTTTCTCTCTTCCTGTCTTCCTGCCTAAAATTCACCAATATTAAAGTATATAATTCAGTGCCTTTTAAGTACATTTGCAATGTTTTGTAACCATCACTCCTATCTAGTTCCAAAACATTTTCATCAGCCCAAAATAAAGCCCCACACCCATTAGCAGTCTCTCCCCATTTCCTCCTTTCTTCCCCCACCCCCGGCTATCTCCGATCTGCTTTCTGTCTCTCCAGATTTGCCTCTACTGGGCATTTCATATTAATGGAGTCACACAGTGTGTGGTCTTTGTGTCCGGGCTCTTGCGCTCAGCGTAAGTGAGGTTCATCCGTGTTGTGACGTGTATCTGTACTTCGTTCCTTTTTGTGGCCGAATAATATTGCATTATATGGTCAGGGCGCAGTTCGTGTCTCTGTTCATCTTCGGTGGACATTTGGGTTATTTCTACCTCTGGCTGTTGTGAATAATGCCACAGTGAACATTGGTTCACAGGTGGTTGTGTGGACACGTTTTTGGTTCCCTCAAGTACATACCTAGGGATAGAATTGCTGTATTACATCATGGTTC